CAAATTGCAACACTACGGATCATCGTCGAACAATCAGTTGAGTGGAACTCATCACTATACATCAACTTCATTGATTATGAAAAGGCATTCAACAGTGTAGATAGGAAGACATTATGGAAACTTCTTCGACACTACGGAGTTCCTGAGAAGATTGTCAATATTATCCGGAACTCATACGACGGACTACAGTGTAAAGTAGTGCATGGAGGACAGCTGACAGATGCATTCCAAGTAAGGACCGGAGTCAGACAAGGCTGTTTACTCTCTCTCTTACTCTTTCTTCTGCTGGTCGACTGGATTATGAAGACCTCAACATCTGGAGGAAAACACGGAATACAATGGACAGCTCAGAATCAATTAGACGATTTGGACTTCGCAGATGACCTAGCCCTCCTATCGCGTACACACGAACAGATGCAGATGAAGACAGCCAATGTAGCAGCAGTCTCTGCATCAGTAGGCCTCAGCATACACAAAGGGAAAACTAAGGTCCTCAAATTCAAAGCGGAGAACAGCAATCCAATCACACTTGATGGCGAAACTCTGGAAGATGTAGAGTCCTTCACATACCTGGGAAGCATCATCGATGAACAAGGAGGATCCGATGCAGACGTAAAGGCGAGGATCGGCAAAGCAAGGGTCGCATTCCTACAATTGAAGAACATATGGAACTCAAAACAACTTTCAACCAATATCAAAGTGAGAATCTTCAATACGAACGTCAAGGCAGTTCTATTGTATGGAGCTGAAACTTGGAGAACTACAACAACCACAATCAAGGAAGTACAAGTATTTATAAATAACTGTCTACGCAAGATACTCAACATCCATTGGCCGGATACCATCAGCAATAGCCTTCTGTGGGAGAGAACAAACCAACTTCAAGCTGAAGAGGAAATTAGGCAAAGACGATGGAAATGGATAGGACATACATTACGCAAATCGTCAAACTGCATCACGAGGCAAGTCCTAACTTGGAATCCTGAAGGGAAGCAAAAAAGAGGAAGGCCAAAGAACACATTGCGTCGGATAATAGAAGCGGATATGAAAACGACGAATTACAACTGGACGGAGCTAGAAAGGATTGCCCAGGACAGGGTTGGATGGAGAATGCTGGTGAGCGGCCTATGCTCCTTCACGAGGAGTAACAGTCGTAAGTAAGCAATGAATATACATGCACCCTTTCCTAACACCACACTGCTCACCATGAACTCATGGGACCACCAAGAACGCGAGTGACCCCAGGTCAGTATCATTGCCGACCCTTTGTACCTCATACATTACTGTAGCTTTTACGATAGTTTAGATTATCCTATGAACTAGATCCTACAAGGTGACTAATTATCCCCCTAAAGCAAGTTGAAGCGCACAAACGAGGAAAATTTGACCTAGAATACACGAAATAAAATCCAAAATAATTTGTATTGATAGGTAATTCGGTTGATTAAAACACAATCAACTCCAAGGAATCTATAAAGCAGACAGGACTTCGAACGGAAAGACATCTATCAAAATTTAAAGAGAAGACAGACATCACGCATGTACTTTGATTAGTAGGTTGGAGATATACTACCCGTAATTGTTAAGCTTCCACCTTTCGTGTTAGCAGCCTTATTTACATATATTTAAATGAGTGGTTAAATATGTGGCAGCAGGCTCGGTACTAGTCGTTAATACTCTTCTGAGGTGTCACTACTGTGTTTGAAGGAGCAGTGTCGGGGTACGATAACACACCAAAAGTCATGACTATCAATGAGGTTTCGGTTCTAGACTGAAGTACATCCTGATTGAGGTGTACTTTTAGGAAGCTTAGGTCACCGTTAATAATGCTCTGGCATTCCTCTTTTCCTTCATCAAAAACCTCCTAACACGTTTTCTCAAGATGGTTGGGTTCATCGTGTTTGGCAGGCAAATTTTTACGCAGTTGTGTCCTGAAACTAGGTATACTTACCACTAAGTATTCAAGCATAATATCCCAGGGAAACACTCAGTAATCTATTACCGAACCTGTTTAAAGTAGATCTCGAGAAATCCATCGAGACTCTGCGAAACAAAGAAATACCGGATACCATGATACGGGTAAACAGCAAAAAGGATACCGACGCGCAGCTCTAATGATCATAGTAAGTCGGTCAGTCAGCTACAACATAGAACCGGGCACATATACGCATCGGTCCAAGTTTCCATATCTCATTAGCACGACAAGATGAACACCAGATCCATAGATGTAGTTAATTCAATAGTGGTAATATAATAATAAGTGGAAATCTGGAAAGCCAGTTCGCCCTATTATTGGACTACGCAGCAGTAAATATCCACGATCTTGCATGTGAGGCTTGAACCAAGGGCCTTCGATCTCCCGAGAAAGTAGGATCGTGGGTGCTTACTGCTGAGTAGTCCCATACTAGAGAGAAATGGCTGTCCAGTGTTTCCAGGCCTCTAATGGCGGTCTAGCCCTGATCGGTTCATGATTTCAACAATCTCCACAACCCCTACTGAAGATAATGAATGGATGAAAATAACGACCAGAACAGGAAACCAGAAGCTAAAACGTAAAAAACAAAACAGGCCTAATAGGGGTCCCCTCCACATCGAAGAAAAATACGATCTTAGGATTAAAACCCTGCACACCATATAGTTAGCCAAGGCAAAATCATAACAAACTATGAACCTAGATCCTAACAAAAGGGAAGAGCGATCTACCAGGCATCCAGTACACAGGAGATCCGCAAGTCGAGGATTCATCTTATCTGGCCCAACGATAGCAACATGGAGTTTTTAACCCGAAAAAATACTTCAGGGACAGTCCTGCCGAAGGTTGCTTTTTTAAACCTGTCCCATAACAGTGTGCAGTCTGGGGGAGGGGGGAGGAAATGGTAGAAACAGGTCAAATTCCCTAATGTTTTATATGTATGTGAAATGTAAATAGTGTGATCTATGTAGGTATCTCAAACAAGCAGTCGGTTAGGAAAAGTGGGAGCTAAACACAAATAACAGTAGGTATAACAAAGTGAGTAGACCTGACCAACTTAGTCAAATTCATCAATTGGTGGTATGTGAGGTCGGAACATTAAGATCAGATGGAGGCAGTGGACATTTGAAGGAAGAGTATAGATGGTCTCTTAAGTTACGGACATAACTAGTCCATCGGTACTCGTTGGTAATAACCGTGGTCGTTACGTTTTTTATAAACTGTATGACCCGTACAGCATATACTACCAAGAGTTCGTCCTCGTAACGCAGCACCCATATGACGCGCCATCTTCTACACTGTACAATTCACTTTTCGTCCAACAATCATCAATTTGCACACCATTATTTTATCCTGCTTCTGTAGAAAAACTGTCATCATGAAGCAGCAACCAAAATGAGTAAACGAGTCCAACGTAATAAAAATCCAACATTTGTAACAATTTGACATTGTCTATAAGTTAGCATGCTTCATTTAACTTACGGTCACTGAGAATAAATTACTATTATTATATACTTACGAGTTAATGAAAAAAGTTCGCAATCTTATAGATCCTGGCAAAAAATTGACATTTTCCTCATAGCCTTGACCAGTCTCTAGTGGAAAGCCGTGCTTTAACTACAGGCGACAAGTGAAAAACCTACTGTCATATACTGAAAAAGTTGCGTTTATGTCAACATGAGTTTGATCAAGTTATGGCAGACGCTTTAATAGCTATGAGTCGTAGACCTGTTCGGAACTTGCGCACCCATCCAAGTAAATGAAGGTTTCTACATGGAAACACTAAGCTATGGATTCGCGTTCAGTTGAAGCTAAGTGTACTTTCAATCCGTACTTTTAACCGCTACTCAACTTGTACCCTGACCTTAGACAAGTAACGAGGGATTCCCTACGTGTTACCAGTTACCAATACCACATATCATATTTCTATATGACAACCCATGTTCTCAAAACCATCCTGACTATCCATCGGAAACCTTGGAATGATGAAAGACAAAGATGCTCACGCGTAGACTTCATAGTTCTATTGGCATAGCAGCAGACGCATCCGAAAAAGCAATCGGTGAACCGTACGAGAGTCTCAATATCTTGTAGAAAGTCACAATTCCGAAAAACCACAAACTCTTGACGATTTCTCTAAAATTTAGTGTAATAAGATTAAATAAAAGTCCCTTAGATTCGTTATCAACTGATGTATATGTCCGGCACGTTCGTCTTAATCTGCTAGGGCACCTGAGATTACTGCATATACATTCACTTCATTCCTAATTACTTGTGTTCTTTGTATACCAATGTTGCACATTTTTATCAGTGAAAAAAATCATCATATTTTCTTGCATAACATTATCTTACATGTTTAGGAGACAAAGGTTGGTGGACTCTTATCAAATATTTGGTTGACTGAAAGCTACCTTTGCCACACAATGTGATCGTTCCTAGAGTATAAAATATGAATATGTTTAACTCTTTAACTACAAAACGATAGTTAAGAACGTCTGAAACTGGATTATGCTCGTAAGCTAATAATAATTAATTAATAATAATAATAATAATAATAAACGGGTGTTTCATTTCTACATATATATTTACAGATTTACGGTTAGGTTAAAGTACGACACTGAGAATTAAATTTCAGTCCATAAACTTTGAAATGCAACTGATTTTATTACTTCCTTATCACTAAACCTACCATATGACAATATGAAACTAAGACACAGAAATTAAATATTTTTGTCTTGGGTTATAAACGGAAAGCGAAAAACAGTGAAACGATTCGACAGTTTATATATCTTCCCTATTGTTAATCCTGAAATGAAATGAAATGAATAATAATATCGTTCAATCAGAACCTGGTACGTATGTGTATTAGTCCGATTTATCAATCATTAACTCCAAAGAAATGGTTTGTAGAATGATACAAAAGAGATGTACGTTGAAAGTGAGCACTATTAAACGTATCCTCCCAAAATATTTACACAAACATAGTTGTATTTAATGCATTCAAGTTAACCGAACAAATATACTGTTACTATAATGGGTTATTAAGTACTTTTAAGGTTTGCACCATAATTAAATCAACTTTTTTATCTCCTGTCGGCTTTACACCAATAGATGCAAATTGTTCTAGATCAGATTGCTCCAACCACGGAATGTTCTCGGTGTTATCGACATAATTAATATCTACAAAATGATCATTTGTCATACTTGACTGACACAATTCATTCTCATTATTTTTAATCTGGCTCTCCTTTAAAGGTTTTGATGATTTTGTTGGTCTAGATAAAAATATTCTACCATTTTGACTTTTGGACTCCCATTCTGCAAGTGTTGATGAAATATCAATTAATTTCGGTAAGGTCACATAACGTATACGTTTACCAAATATCATCATTGTCTAGAAATTTGGAGGATAAACGTAATACATTGTCAATTGATAATTGAAGGAAAAAAAAGCCTAGGATTTTAAAAAAATTACACCATTGAGCTTTTTGGTTACATGAAAACACAAACCGGCCGGGAACGGAAATTTTAATGACCCGAATTTAGTTGATTTTTATAAATTTATTTAAGCATGTTCGATCGAGTAGTTTTTCACTCCTTAGTGCTGCCTCCCAAAATTGCAGTCTTGTAAAGCGAATAATCTCAAGTGCAAGTTTGTAAAATTACGAGGGAAATAAGTTAATTAAAAGGAAGATTTAATACTGATTGGAGACAATGGCATAAACACGCTGTTGAGGGTTTGAACCTGTCCCCGCATACTTGGATTTGGATAGCCTGATAGAATTGCTGTCATTTGCTAGAATGTATGGATCAAACCACAAGACATAAGACTATGATCTATTATTGAAATATATTAGCCCCTGAAAATATTAATACAAAAATTCATCTCAAAAACCAGAAAAATTCAAGCATAGAGAATGTGCAACATCTTCTGAAATGATTAAGTCAAACAAAATTCTTAAAATCACCAAAAAAAATATGGTGTTTGAATGAACTAATGATACCTTTGTACTTGTTGAATGCTTGATTTCGAATTATAAACACAGTACATTCGTTTGTGGTTATCTATTACTTCTTGATCCGATTACGTTATTTCTGGGATTCTTAGTTCATACTATAATTGAAATACTTCTAATTATCATATTGGCGTCGCGATGGAACAGTTAGATATTCATTCAACTTCTGAAGCTTTTGAGGATTATTTGGAAAGGTTTGAAATCTGGAGCATGACCAAGAAAGATGTTAAAGGTGATAAAATTGTGGCACATTTCCTAACATTCATCGGAAGAGAAGCGTACAGCTTATTAAAAACTTTGGCATATCCAGAAAAACCTATCTCACTTCCTCATGCAACTCTTAAGGAGCTATTATTAAATCATGTAAAGTGCACTAGTTTTGAATGCCGTGAAAGGGCGAAATTTCATAAGATGGTTCGTCGAAATGATCAAAAGGTTAGGGAATTCGTCCTTGAATTGCAGAAATAAGCTTCCGAATGTAATTTCGGTGATCAACTTCATGTGCAACTGAAAGATCGATTAATTTCAGGAATTAACATACCGGGTTTGGAAAGAGAGCTGTTAAGAATGCCGAACTGTTCCTTTCAAGATGCTAGGACTGCGTGTATTAACTACGAGGCAGTGAATGAATTTGATATCCAGTCGATGAAGATTTCTAATACTTTGCTTAGTCGTCATGATGAAATACAATCTCAGGATCAATCAAACTTGCACTCGTTTAACAGTGATTCCTATTCTCGTGTAAATATGAAAGGTGTTTCAACAAGGAATCACAAAGCAAATCACAAAGGTGAGATCAAGTTTGGTAAATGTTTATCATGTGGAAAGTTTCATTCTCGTAATTCATGTGCATTTCGTAATGCTAAATGTTTTAAATGTGGTAAGATAGGACACATTCAGTCAGTATGCAAAGCTACTGTCCATTTTGCTTCAAGTAGTACTAAATCTTGTAATTTAGATCCCACTAATTCAGCTGTTCCTAATGATCATTTATCTTTGTCTACCATTTTGAAAGGTAATGCTCATATTCAAAAGCGATTATATACATCACTTGGTTCATTTCATGACTTTATTGTGGACACATGCAGTATAGAGTCCATTATTCCATTCAAGAACTTGAAATCTTTAGATCCTAACGTTGTGGTACGACCCACTGAAGTATCAATATTGGGGATCACTGGACACAGACTGCCCATACAAGGATGTTGTGAATCGCTAATAGGAGATGATAATTCTTCATATATACCTTGTGAATTTTTAGTTAGCGAAACAGGACTGTCAATACTGGGTTTAAAGAATTTGAAAAGGCTTAAAGTGGAGTTGTCTTTCCTAGTTTCTAAAGAAAACTCTGATGCTTTACTTAAAGATTTGATAGCTATGTGTGCTAAGTGTAGTGAAGGTATGGAAATTCAGCCCATAAAACTTCAAGTACAGGGTGATCTAGTCTTTCTTAAAAGACGAATAATTCCTTATGGTCTTCGAGAAGCAGTACATAAGACTTTAAACGATTCGTGTGCGAAAGGCATAATTGAACCGATTCAGTCTTCAGCATGGGATACTCCTATTGTCACGCCACTGAAGTCGGACGGCAAGACCCCTAGAATATGTGGTGACTATAGATTAACATTGAACTCCCGTTTGTTGAAGCAAACGTGCACGACGGTAGAGGCTGAAGATATTCTAAATCGACTTCATGGTTCTAAAGTGTTCTCGAAAGTTGACCTAAAAGATGCTTATCTTCAAATCCCTTTAGATCAATCTTCATCTATTTTGACGACAATGAACACTCCTTTTGGTCTGTTCAAATACAATTTCCTTCCATTTGGTCTAAGTTGTTCTCCAGCCATATTTCAGGAAGTTATGAATAAAGTAGTTAGTGATCTTGAAAATGTTGAAGTTTATCAAGATGATCTCATTGTTCATAGTTCTGATAAGGTAGTTCATGACGAGAGACGTATTGCTTTATTACGTCGTTTAATTGAGAAGAATATTACAGTGAATCCAAATAAGTGTTCATTTTGTGTATCTAGTTTTGAATGTCTTGGATACCCAGTTGATGATAATGGTTTTAGACCAGATATGAAACGACTAGCTCCACTGACAAATGCACCGTTTCCAAAAAATCTTACGGAACTACGTTCACTAGTGAGTACTCTTCAATACTATTCCCATTTTATTCCTAATTTTTCTTGTCGTGCAAATTGTTTATTTAATATTATGACATCCAATTCATTCAAATGGGGTGAGGAACAGGAGTCGTGCTTACGAAGTCTACTAAAGTTTCTTCAAAGTGATGCTGTTATTCGAACTTACTCCCCTAGTGTACATTCTGTGCTTATTACTGATGCATCACCTCTGGGTATGGGCGCAGTTTTAGAGCAGGAAGGTAGACCAGTTATTTGTGTTTCATGCAAACTTACTGTTACTGAACAAGGTTATTCACAGACTCAGCGAGAAGCATTAGCTGTGTTTTGGGCTGTTAAAAGACTTCATAAATATTTATTCGGTAAGTAGTTCACTATTGTTACTGATCGTGAAGCTTTAAAGTTTATTTATCATCCTGAAAAATCTTTAGCACGTTCCTTAGCTGCTATGGTTCAACGATGGAGTATTGCTTTGAAGTGCCTATGACCATACGGTTTAGCACAGGAGTGTCAAACAAATTCAACATGTTGATTACATTTTTCGACAATCATTACAACATAGACCTGTTGATACTTCAGGCTGTTTGATAGTGCAGACTTTACTAGTGAAACGTCTAGGCCTCGTTAGAGAAACTCATAGATACTTTGGATGTATACTCACTGTAATATGCAAAGTTTGGAATGCTAATTTGAAACGTGGATTTCCTGTCCATTTCTCAGTGCGGGATGAGTTATGCACTACTCCTGATGATATTTTGTGTTTAAATGATCGTGTTTCTATTCCTACTTCATTATTCAAATCTGTCCTTGAACATCTTCATAGGGGACATTTAGGTGTTGAGAAAATGAAGTCCTTGGCAAGGCTCACATGTTGGTGGCCAGAAATAAATGCAGACATATGTCGTACAGCAAATAATTGTGAAAAATGTCATCAGTTTAAAAATCATCCTTCGAAGTGGACTCCATGGCCAGTATCGTCTGAGGCCTGGCAGAGAATTCATGCAGACTATTGTGGTCCGTTTCTTGGCAAATACTATGCACTGGTAGTCATTAATTCCTTTTCAAAGTGGCCTGAAGTTTTTTTACAACTTCACCAAATTCTGATTTCACAATCCAAGCATTAAGAAAGGTGTTTAGTCGAGAAGGGGTGCCCATGGTGTTAGTGACCGATAATGGCTCTCATTTTGCTGCAGATGCAGTCACTACCTGGTTGAATGGTGTAGGGTGCAAACATCTGTTTACTGCCCCCAGACATCCTTGTTCTAATGGTCAGGCAGAAAATGTTGTCAGGACATTGAAGACTGCTATTGATTCTATTGCCGCCTCAACATTTAATGAGCTGGAGAGGGAAGTAGATACCTTTCTACTGCAAAATATAGAAATGCCAGACATTCGGTGACGAAAGAGACCCCATCAAAGCTATTAAAAGGAAGAATTCTTTGGTCAAATATGAGATGCTTGGAGTCTGCAGAAGTTACATATTATCGTGGAAATGATCGTCGACCATCCACGGGGATTGTTATGAAGCATGTCGGGAAATCTATGGTGCGAATTCTAGATATCAATGACTTAAGTACACACAATCGACATGTTGATCAAATACAATTCCAGGAATCAGGTGAGTCTATCCCAATTTCGGTTGTTAATTCTAATGCTGATGAGCACATTCTAGATAATACAGAGTCCTTATCCAATACACTGTCCGACAAAAACAGGATGAACTTGAGAAAAAGACGTACAACTGATTACAGACACCTAGACTCCAATTTAAGCTGTGGCGGATGTGGTGTTTGAATGAACTAATCTTACCTTTGTACTTGTTGAATGCTTGATTTCGAATTATAAATACAGTACATTCGTTTGTGGTTATCTATTACTTCTTGATCCGATTACGTTATTTCTGGGATTCTTAGTTCATACTATAATTCAAGTGTTCCTAATTATCATAAAAGATCGTTCAACATTGCTATACGCTTACTATTATTAGGAAATATAAGTTTGTCTCGCAAATAATTTGCGACTGCAATCTACTATAAGGCAACAATGTTTTCTCTAAAATAATATTTTGTACTAATACAAAACAAAAACTTGATCGATCAGTTCAACGTCAACATTTGCATTCTGAGCTAAAGATGTTTACCAGCAGAAAGTTACATTGTGCTTATCAGTATTTCATGAACCACAATAAAATCTTTTAAGATACACTAATGAAAATAAATCTCATTCTAGAACCT